ATTGCACAGATAAAAGCTTCTAAGAAGATGTAAGCATTTTCCACGCAATCATAACAATAAAGTCTTGCAACAATGCACTCTGGACAAATCATTTCAATTCAGAAATACCTTAAAAATAATTCCAAATGGAAATGAAATGAAATCAAACTTTCAGGGTCATGAAAAAATGAAACCCTGAGGTGAAACATTTACATGGTTGAGGGTTGTACAACGGGGATAAACTACTTTATTAACTTTTAAGAGAAGATTCCCTTTGACAAAGCTTGCAACTCGGTAAGGACAAAAAAAGCAAAAGATTGAGTCAATGATTAAAAATAAATAAGGTAAATAACTAAAATTCAAATTATCCCCTGACTGATTAAAAACTTTTTCTATTCCGCTCTAAACCTGTTCATTATTACTGTAACTCATTATTCTTTGCTAATACTTAGCTTTTATTTTTCCTCATAAACTTTGCTTTTAAACTGACAGGTTCAATTTGTACGACCTGTTTCTGCTTAAGGGCATGTAGACTTTGATATCTTGCAGGTGCAAGACTTCCCCTGTAGTTCTTTTGATGAACATTTGTTCATGTGTATTCTTGGCTTTTCATTTGATTTTATATCAAATTAACTCTACCTTCTGGGTTTCTTTTACCCTTGTTAAATCATTTTCAGTGAAAGAAAGGCAGAGCCTTTCAAGCAAACACGCAGGAAGATTTTAATGCCCCTCTTTTTTTAATTAGATTTGTTCTCCCCGATTTTTCTAGATAAGAATAAATGTACAAGTCAGAATGTATTATTTACCCGTCTGTTCTTTTATTTCAAATAATTAGTGGTAACTGGGAATCCACACCCATTCAGTCATCATAATATTTTTAAAAAGGCAAAATATTTCAGGAACTTACTTCACGAAGTGAAACAGATTAGATATATTAATTAGACTGATATTTTAAAGCTTTTATTATTGTAAAATAAGATTATTTTCTTTAGTTTACAACCAATAAAAGAAGAAAAATTAGGATTAGAATTTAACATCAGACCAATAATAAAAAAAACAAAATAACTTGAATTTATGAAACGTGTTTAGTATCTGCTTAAAGGTTAAAAACAAGCCTTTTTTTAAGCAATATCTAAATGTGTTAATGTGAATTTAGCACCCATACTTAAATATTTTTAAGGTTTGTTTTCTAATAAAGAAGGTTTCCTGCTTTTTCATAATCACAAGCTATTCTCTACCGGGAAAAAAAATATATATATAGGTTTTTAATAACTTTTTTTGATAGAAGTAGTTCACTGATTCCTTCATCATGTTGTTTTGGATCAACTACTGAGTCAGGGTGTTGGGGCTCAGATTTAATTTGCATCCTTAAGACACCTACTCTTAAAGTGGATGCACTTAACGTTCGCCTCTGGACACAACTTCTAAAACCTGTGTAATGTTTAAATCATTCTTTGATTTGAGGCCTTTCAGAAAATGTCTTTTTTTAATTGAACCTGGTTTAGATGCAGTAGCTGTCTGTTGAGCTGCCGAAGCCACATGCAGGAGGTGCCTGTGGGAGCTTAAAGGAAATCAAGCTGTGCTATATTTACTCGCCTCTATCATGGGAGTACTAGCTGTCGGTCGGAAGAGGATAAAACACTTCGGGATTTTTGTTAACGTCTAAAGGAATGGCTTATCGTTAGCTGCTTTGGAAACTTTCACAGATTTCCACAGTTACTGACTTCTGTTTCCATATCAGTCTTTTTAGCTTTCTTATCATGTTTCCTGCTGCTAGCCTGCTTGTCTGTCTTTCAATGCTTCTAATAATTTACATTTTCTAAATGTGAAACAAAACTTTTAATTTCAGACTCATATTTAGTAGCTGAAGGCAGGAAGATAGGGTTATAGTCTCTGATTGGTTTTAATTGAATGGAAATGGGGGGAATTGTTGCGACATTCATTATCTAAATGAGGCCATTTGGAGTCGGAGGCATTTGATTGCTGCTGAAGCGTGTTTCCAGGCTGATAGTGTCCTAATTGCAGTTGACCCGGTCATGTTCCTTATTTTAAGAGGGGAGAATATTTGGACTGAGACACGGTCCACAAGTCATCTCTAGCTTAGGCTTAAAGAATTTAAACTCTCTTTATGTCTTACAATATGTTGGGAATCTGTTCTAAAACGCAAAACTAGGTGCCAGAAAATCTTTGGTAAAGGCTTCTGAAAACCCAGAGAGAAAAAAAAAGGTTATGTTATTTGATTTATTATTATTTTGTTTAAACAAAGTAAAGTAAAATCATACCACTCTAATTTCAAGCTTTAAATAAATCTTTTAAAATAGTTTTTGTTTTTTTGTACTTTTTTTTTTTTATATGGTCCATTGCCGCTTTAGTTTTGACTTTAGTAGCTTAAAACCTAGCTCACGCTAATAACCCTTTAGCTCCCACTTAGATGGGTTTGATGTCACTTTTTTTTCCTCTTTCACCTTTTTGTATTTTGGTTGTCGATAATAGAAGCTTTGCCACGCTTTGTCAAAAGTGTAGGGGCAGGCTGAAAAGATTGTTTATTTATGTGAATGGGAGCAAGAGGAGAGAAGAAATGATTGGAAATGTATCGAAAATGTAAAATTCTGCAAGCTGGAAATTGTCTGTCTTTAACACAGCCTTTCTCTCTTATTTTGAAACATTCCTTTGTGGATTTCAGGATATGGGCTTTGAATAATGGCTCTGTGTTAACTGCCAGCCTTGTTTGATACAAAGCACAAATATTTGAATCCCTGAGAGCAATCTCTAGAAACTAAAAGATCATAGCTTTCAAATGAGATATACAACAAACATGTGGGATTTATAATACTATTTTACTTGCCAATGGTATTTGGGCAAGCGATCTGTTTATGCACAAGTAATAAAAATGAACAAAGGTGGGAGCTAAGGGGTTAAAGTTTTCTGATTTCTTTCTTTATTTCAGACTGTTCTTATAAACGTCTGTATAAATTGTTAAGTCCTCTCCACTTCACATTACTTATAGTTTTTTTTTTACGTAGAAATGGTAATTGGTTAAACATACAGGTGAATATGAGTGTAAAAAAAACAAACTAGGATATTTTGCAAATTTTAGGCTTTAATTGGAACAAGTTTTTTATAATTAGGAAAAGCTTAGGTACCCGCTTTGATGCATTTAGTGAATACTGAAAATGGGATGGTTTTGAAATCTGGGCTTGGTCTGTTGGATAAAGAAAAACAACTAATGCAGTGACAATGGAACTTGCAGCAAAGTTTATTTTATTTGTATGTTATAGTGTTTAAAATGCGGAAACCATATGTAAGAGAGGATTAACTGGCAGGTTGGGTTTAAAGAAAAATAGCCTGATTAGTGTGTCTCTACATTACTGTCAGATTGGGACAGAGAGAAGCTCCTGGAAGCCTGGATGAGCAACGCAGAGGAATGCTGCCAACGTTCAGGGGTGCAGATGCCCAACCCGCCTCCAAGTGGCTACAACGCCTGGGACACGCTGCCATCACCCCGCACTCCTCGCACCACCCGCTCCTCCGTCACCACCCCAGACCAAATCAGCCTCTTTGCGGGAGATGACGATTCATCTCTGGTGAGTAATTTCAAGTTTCCATGCCTCCTGATTTAGATGTCTGTGCTGCTCTGATCCATTGAGGACAGAACATTCAGTCTGGTATGAGGTTTCTCTTCAGTACACACAGTGATGGAAAGACATGGCAGACATAATGCAGTGCTTAGGGAGGCTTCTATTACCTTTGCTTTTAAAGTAGTTCTCTCTGTTTTCAGCAGAGTTGTTGGAGTAAAGAGTTGCTAAGAATCTACGGCATAAATTATTCCAGCTACAAAGAAGGGGGATGGAATAAAGCTCATTAGTTACTTCCTTTGCAGCTTTAGATTTTCTTATCTTGTTTCAGAGAAAACCATCTGAAATGGGAAAAAATTATGTGTGTACAATAGGGCTGCAACTAATTATTATTTTGCAAATCAGTTAATCTGTCGATTATTTTTTCAATTATTCGGCCAAATTATGGCCAAATATTCTTTAAAGATTTTTTTTTTTACAAATGAATTCAACTGAAACTCAAAATTTTCCACTTGAAGAGTTCTGAATAGAGCATGTTAACAGACGAAAATGTTTCTTTTTATTTTCAATGCAAAATGTTTATATTTTATTTCACGATCTTGGTATAATTACTGCTACTATGTGGGTTGCTCAGTCAACTAAAGGCATGTTTTACATTCTTCATACTCCAGTTAAGGATAAATCAATTACTAAATTAGTTGACATTTATTTCAATAATTGATCAATCTTGATTATTCCAATTCATTGTTTCAGCCCTAGTGTATATATCTCTGCTGAACAGTTTTACAAGTATAAAAATAATGCAACACATATGCTGTGGGCCTGAGTCTCAGTGCAACGTCTGGCTGATTTGGAAAGAAGTCTATATCCTCACGTTTTGGTCTTTTTTTTTTCCAGTCAGTGATGGTAGCACTTTAACATCTACCTTTGTCAACGAGTAATGATTTGTTAATATTATTTTCTTTGTAGAAATGAGTACTGTATATTCACATGTGGTCTGCCATACAAACACATACGGAACATACTCCACCAGAGAAATATCACTTTGCTGATTTTGGTTGAGACAAATTGAGAATAGAAGTAAATATTATTTTCTATAATATACTGAGGTCATTTTTATCTTTATTAGTGACCAAGAACTCTGTGCTTTTGTATTAAATATGATTATTGTTGATGATTTATTATATCTAAGTGCAGTTGGCAGAAACACAGAGCTATAGTTCAAGTTCAATATAAATGAAACCACAGTTCAGTAAGGATTTATTAATTTTGTGATTTGAAATTGTTCATTTTGACAAGCTGTCTGTATTTTTTGACCTTTATAAACATCAGTTTAATGTGCCAATTGCTCAGGTGCAATCAAGGACTTATTTAAAGCTTCTAGTTGTCCCCAAATCAATAGTTGCATTGTAGAACCCCTCTGCCTCCTCTTTCTCTTTTTGTGCGGGGCAATCTTCCAGCTCTTGTGTGTTTGGCCCTGTTTGTTTTCGTGGGTGTGAGAAACTAAATCTGCTAACAGAGCAGTCATCTTTGAGCCCTTTTTTTTTACCGGGGCAGGATTGCCTTTTTATAAACCATGCAAGCTATTGTGGGGAATCCCACCACACTGACCCATTGGACCTGCATCCATTGCTGATCCAGTCAGTAAAGTCAGGTCGCACATTCAATTATGTCGAGATGTTTTCAAAGTCTGTTTTCTTTTACGTTTTTAGACTGTTCAGCAAAAAGAATCATAAATAATAACTAACTGCAGGTTTTCTATGCTGTGATTTTCATGTTCAACATTAATGTTTTAACCTTTCTGTCTCTCAGTGTGGTATCTGCATGTGCTCCATGTCCTTCTTTGAGGAACCTGTAGATATGTCCTGTGGCCATGATTTCTGCAGATCATGCTGGGAAGGGTAAGTAACAAACATCTAAATATTTGGATTTTAGCTAACAACATCACAAATGGAGAGAGGTTGCCCTTTAGTGTGGGACATGAAAATGAAAACAAGCTGGATGCTTATCAATAGATGATCCATTCCAAAAAAACACTGAACAGGATTCCTTGTGCTTTAATTTACACCAATTAAATGGGTGTGTTTAAACACGTTGTGCCTGGGGAAGCATTATTTAGTGCTTTGTTAAATCAGAATCACCTGGATTAATCTGGTCTGCTTCAAAGACACAAATCCTACTTTCGAGCCCCGTATTCCAATATGAATCAATAAAGGAAATATATAGTTGTTGTTTTTTTACAGCTAAGAGGCTAAAACCAAACATTTTCATAACTAACCTGCTATTTGAAACCGTGTTCAGACTTTTCTTCCCATTTTTGCAAATCCCTGCTAAGCTGGACATGTCACTGTTACCTTTCGCCAGAGGAAGTCAGCAAACCAAAATCCTGTAAGAATTTAAGATGGGGAAAGTAGTCCTAAGTGTTTAATCATGCATTGATGTAGTAACTAGTGGTCTGTTTTGGTAAACAGTGTAGCAGTAATCTCAGGATCCCATATAGAATGGGAAATTAAAGGAAGGTATGGAATTTGATTTAAGTATTTCCTAGGTTAAGATAGGTGTGGAATAATAACCCTTAAAAGCCGCGTTTTCTTCCACACTTCCTGCATGAGACATATATATATATATATATATATATATATATATGTGTGTGTGTGTGCATACTAGATTTTTTTTTTTATAAATCCATTGTTTACTTAAATTTGTTTTCATTTTGAATTCAAGGGAGCCTGGAAAAGTCTGTAATGCTTCCATGAAAAGTACATAGGAACATTATAATGTCACTTCTATAGTGTACATTATGTCACACTATAATGTACTTACCTGTTTCTGCCCCATTTTCTATTCCAGATTTTTCACTAAAAAAGGTTAAGCATTTCTTATCTATTCAAAGAGACCTCTGAAGGTTAACATCTATTTTTGTTACCCTGCCAGTTTTTGCTGTAATTCATAGGTTAAATAACTTAACTTCACAAATGTATGGAATGAGGGAAGCAGGATATCATTTATTCTGTGGAATTCAATTATAAGACTATCCCAGATATCTTCAACTGATATTCAGCTGAAGACTCTAGTCAAGTTTGCTTTATTATTAAAAATATGTCCATGATTATATTCAGCAAATGTCATATTAGTTCACTTTGCATGGCTGTGACTTGTAGAAAACATTATGTTACTAAGCCATTATAAAATATTTAAAATAATGCTATAAAAGATGTAATAACATTCAAGCAGGTAATGGAAATGCCATTGAATTTATTTTTCTCCATAGTTTTACTATTTTTTTTAGAACTCTTTACCACAGTGTGTTTCTGTTTGATCTGTTTCTGTTCATACTTCTCTGATGTGTTCGACTCTTTTCCTTTTAAAGGTTTCTCAACCTAAAGATTCAAGAGGGAGAAGCCCACAACATATTTTGTCCTGCCTATGATTGCTACCAGCTAGTACCAGTGGAAGTTATAGAAAGTGTGGTGTCCAGAGAGATGGACAGGCGCTACCTCCAGTTTGACATTAAGGTCAGTTCAGGTTTAAAATGATCCTTATTTGTTTGGTAGATGAACACCAAGGATGGAACCCTCTGCTCGAAAAGTTGGAAACTGATGATAGATTGAAATTAATTGTATTTCTTTGCTTCTACATCTTTATATGGAGATAAAGTGTATTTTCTTTGAAACCAGCGTAATTTATCTTAAAGTTACAAAAGAAAAGCTCACCTTTGTTGACTGATCTTATCCTTGCTTTCTTTCTTCATCAGGCGTTTGTGGAAAACAATCCAGCAATACACTGGTGTCCTGTGGCGGGGTGTGAAAGAGCCGTACGACTGAACACTCAGGGCCCAGGGACCTCCAGCGCGGACCCTTTGAGCTTTCCTCTGCTTCGGGCCCCTGCTGTAGATTGTGGAAAGGGCCACCTCTTTTGTTGGTCAGTAGATGAACAGTTTTCTACTGCTTTTAGAATCAGCAAGAATTGTGTTTTTAAGCATTTTGGCTTTTTAGAATTTAGCGAGATGTAATCCAGAAGAAAAAAAAAAGATGAAGTTTTAAACACATTTTTTTATTGACAGTTTTGAGTTTAGTTGCAGAATAATAGCTGTGTGAATTGAAAAAAAAAAAAAAACTTAAAATAAGCTTAGAAAAATGCTAATTCTTCCTAAAAATTTATAGTTGGTGCTTTTATCATATTCATAATGCAACACACTCCGCCCTTGCATTTGCCTTGTAGCCCACTGGTATAACCTCTAGCCCACCATGATTAATCCTATCTAATTATAATGATAATACCTTAGTGCGCCTCACTTCATTATACTGTTCTTGAGAGTAGCTGGTGGGTATCTTCAGGAGTTTAATTGACACACCATTTGTTAGAGGAAATGAATCCAACATCGGTTCAGCTTTAATCATTTCCATAACATGAAGAGGTTGTGGAGTTAAAATGCAGATTTGGCCATCCAAAGGTGAATTGAGGTCTCTACACCTTCTGCTTTAGTACTTTTCTTGTATTGTTTTAGATTTTGTTCATGTTTATTCAGAATACAAACCTGTTTACTTTTTAAATTCTATTTTACATTTGTCTGGGTGTTTATTTCAGGGAATGTCGGGGAGAGGCACATGAGCCCTGTGACTGTGACACCTGGAAGCTGTGGCTTCAGAAAGTCACTGAAATGAAACCTGAAGAATGTGAGTATTTACAAAATTTAACCTTTTTTTTCTTTGATAAAAAGTGAAATGGTTTTACACAATAACTACAGAGTCTGTATACTTTATTTTAATGTTTTTATAGCTTATTTAATTTATCTATGCAGTAGGAAACATTAGATTATGGAGTATTAAATTATTATTACATAGTTACTCTTTCACGGCTTAGGTCTTTTTATTTGTTTGCAGAAGAGTGCTTGATTTGGGAATGAATTGCCTGCTTCTCATTCCTAGGAACATTTTAGTTATAAAGAAATTAATTGTCATTCTCATGACAAATAATAAATTGAGAAGATTAACCCATGAATCGAACATGTGCAATGTCTGTGAGCAGAAATTGGACTGTAAGCAATGTAACAGATGATTTAAGATGCCCCATTTTCCTCCTAAGTGCCAGTTTTGTTGATGTGACAGGAGAAAAATAATGGCCATTATTTTGTTTTGGTACTATCTCCTGTTCAATCTCCCCAGATTCTCTTTCATCCTGGTGTTTCAAATGACACGTCAGAGATGCTTTGTTAATGGCCAATTACACCGAATGTGTGCGAGAGTGGGTGCATTGGCATCTGGGGAGATATCGGTAAAATACCTGAGCAGCACACATTACTCAGGCAGAGCAACTTCCCATTCAGTGCATTAGTTTGTATTGATGCTGGGGTAATAGTCATTCTCATTTGATCTCATTACGGTTTTATTTCTTGTGTTTACCACTCCTGTTGCAGTGGCTGGTGTAAGCGAAGCTTATGAGGATGCAGCCAATTGCTTGTGGTTACTCTCCAACTCTAAACCCTGCCCAACATGCAAGTCTCCAATACAGAAAAATGAGGGCTGCAATCATATGCAATGCGCTAAGGTAGGCGTCTGCAACCACTGTGTGCTTTGCTTCTTATAGCTTATTTATAGAGCGAATTGTATTAATAATATTTAAAGTAGGCAAATAAATGCTACTGTTTGAGCTTCTGCCATAATTTTTCCCCCCATTTCCTGTTTAAAAAATTAATTGAAATTGTTTTAACGTTAGTCCATCCTGAAAAAAAACTTAAATAACTTAATTTATAGACCCAAACTTCCAACCAGCACAAATTTCTAGTCTTGTCTGTAAACTGGATAATTTATAAGCTAAGCCCAAAGTAATTTGACTTCTTATACACTGACTCACTTCTATGTCCAACTTCTGTGACCCCTGAAAGCTCTCTGTGGAGTCTAAACAATGATCAAGACAACTGCTTTAATTTTTTGCTTGGATGTTTTATTTATTACATTCAGGTGTGATTTCTCACTGCTTTTTTAAAGTAAACTTTTATTTTTGAGTAATATGCTTGAATTTATTATGTGAGAATTTATCCAATTTTGCATAAGCGATGTTTTTGACATACGTTAGTGCCAAGAAAAACCCTGAAACAGAACATTTGATTTAATATTTATAAACTTTAGACTCTGCTGAACACCGGTCGTGAATCTAGACGGGCAAATTTATTTTCTAATCTTCTAAAGAGAGATTTAAAAGCCTGAAAATTTAAAAAGGCAACATATGAAAACACAGTTTATTTTTTTCCTCATGATAAGTCAAGTAATAATGTTTTCTTAATTTTCCTGTATCTGTATGCAGCTTTCCAGTTGCTCAGTGTTTTGTAGCCTCACATTGACTCTTAATATTTGGAGACACAAAAGATGAAACTAGGACTTAAATGAATAACTTTTCTCATCTTAGAGCACCACTTAATGACAAACTGCTAACCACTTTAGGACTTTAGTTTTGCATGTTTACACAGAAAAGGCTTTTTAAAATATCCCAGTTATACAAATAAAAGAGGAAGCTAATGAAGAGCCTACCAAAATGGCACTGACTGGAACTTCTTCTAGGTAGGAAAAAAAAGAAGTTTGCCTCTGCAGTGAAACTGTCCTCCTCACTAAGGCACCAGATCCAGCTGAAGATAAATGATGGTTTGGGGGTGTTTTGATGCAGTTCTAGTTGATGATATTTTTAATCAAATTTCAAGGCATATTCAATCAGCAGGTTTATTATACTGTCGTGTTTAGCTGTGCTTTACCTTCAGGAGCCTTTTTTTTTTTTTTAAAGCTCTTACTGTTGTCAGGCTGAAGGACAGTAAAGTCTGTTGAAAAACAAGGTTTTGTAAAAAGGAGGATCGTGTTCTATTAGTCACCTTATCTTCATTCTTTTAAAACATTCTGAGGTCAGCTTCACCGAAAATGTTAACATCCTGTAAATATGTGTTGCTACACACACACACTTGAAAAATGGGGAGTGGCATCCTAGTGGTTAGGGTATTGCTCTTGGAATCCTGAGGTTCTGAGTTCAAGTCCCACTACCACAGACTGCCACTCTGCATCCCTGAGCAAGACCCTTTACCCCTGGGCACCGCAAAATGGCAGCCCACTGCTCCCCAAGGGATGGGTGAAATGCAGAGAGTTCATTTCATTGCTCTGTCCTTGTGACAGTGCATTGGCAATAAAATGTTAGAGAAAAAAAAAAAGTTGACCTAAAGAGACCTCTTAGGTTAACAACTTTAATATTTACCAATCTTTGTTTTGTGTTTGTTTTATGTTTGTTTGTAGAGGTAATCTTATTAAGACTTTTATTTTATTTTTTGGGGACTTGCCATATGGGTTTTCTTTATCACTTTAGACATTTTCTCAACTTTTACTGTGAAACACAGTGAGAGAAGAACTGTATGGGATGCTGGTTCTGGTCTGACCCTCTCTGTCCTGACTCAGACCAAGAGTCAGTAGCCCCCTTTACACTACCCTTCTGAAACCCTGAGAGAACGGTCCGAGCACAGTAGCCGAGATAACTGTCAAGGGTAAATAGAACGAAACTGAATCTGACCGTGTCTGACACAACCGGACCGCGCTAAATCTAGTACTTGTTCTAAAGTAGGGCTTGGCACAGCACATAAGCAGTCAGCTGACTCATTTTGTGGGTTTTCCGGCGTGTCCGGCTTTGCAATTAGCAGATCTCTTCACCTGTTCAAAACACAAAATTCTTCTCAGGCTATTAACAATAAATGGCATCAAAAGAGCGTCCTGCAACCTGGGATCATGCAGAGACCAAGGCTCTAATTAAGAATTTGGATGGACAACGCTATCAGGCAGATAAGTTCTTTAAAGGTTATGGGCGCCGCCATTTTTGTTTGCGCCAGTTACCATCCTGAAGTATCGTTCACCGCCACTAGGAGGCGGGGAACCGTGCTAGCTTGATTTGAAATGGTCGTTGGAACCAAGCTTCGTTTGATTAACTGATCCAAGCTCGGTCTGCACTCTGCACAGATCGTTTTCAGGGGGTAGTGTAAATGGGGCAATAAATAAAAGACACCTAAACACTGTGCAGCATGTTGACGTTACACAAATCACAAAATGTCTAAAGTGGGGGAGAAAATCTCTTCCTGTGATTGTGTTTGAATAGCATTAAATAGAGCCACAGAGAGAGCCATGTTACAGATGAAAAAATGCATCATTTTAAAACTGAGTGAACATGCTAATTTGGCTAGTAAGATAGTTACTAAATTATTTTAAGTTCTTATTTAAAGAGCTTTTACTTAATAGATAGACTTAATAGCATTAGAAGATAGAATTCACTTGGAAAAGTTGAAGGTAAAACGATGCATGGATTTCTTAGGCCCCCGTGTAATTTTATTTTCCTTGATTTTCATTTACTTTCACAAAATAATTTCTTTAATCTTTGTTGTGTTTTTTCTATTTACATTTAAAGTTAATTGCAGTTTTTCTTGTGAGCTAAACAGGATTTACTTTGACGGTTTATTTCATTAGGACCTCAAAAATTGTGAAATTCCATCTGGATGAAAATCTGTTAACTGTTCTTTGGTTAACTTTCAAGGTTTTCCTTTTCAGGCTGTGTTTTTATAGAGGGAAATAGTGATGACCTGTTGTCGGATGAGTCTAAGCTGCTGTCGCTGTTTTCCCTGCAGAAGCACACCACAGTTATACTGCTGGGATGTTTTAGGCCATGACAGCCCTGTTGCTCTCTCCACTGGTTAAATGGGCTGACTAGAGACTTTCGTTTTATTTTGTGAAATTGAGCTGCCTTCACAAGTTGAAAGGCCATATGAGGCTAAGCCTCCTGACCTGTTATTACCTTGTAAAAAATGGCTTTAACCTCTGCTTGGAAACATGGGAGTCAGTGTTGCCAAGGAACTGCTATCTTCTTCCTTCTGGTGTGCCGTCACACTTTCCCCCCTCCTTTAGTCTGTCCATTTTACACCTTTGTTTGTGAGTATGCGCTTCCATTAAATACCCCTTATCCGTCCAGCCTCCGTTCTTAGCTTTTGTATTGTTTTTTCTGAAGTGTCATGGAAGAGCAGTGTTTCCAGGACAACAAAGATGCAAGCCTTTTTGTGTAGCTAACTCCTCATCAATAGAAGCACTTGTGACATAGGGAGAAAAATGACTGAGATGAGAACATGCTGCAGATTCAAGTGGCTCGATGTGTTTGTTACTCTGCAATGCCAGTGGGATTTTCTGATCGCTAATGTTGTCGGTGAGCCTTCTGGTGGCAGCAAACTGCAAGGAACTGCATCATCCAAGGAGCTGCTCTCATCATGCTAAATATAGATTATCCTTTATCTTCCACCTATTAAAGCAAATAAAGGGGAGAAAGAGTTCAAGTAAATATAACAATGTTTTGGGGATTTAAAAGTTATGCTCTCGCTTTAGTTCCTCATCTTTTATAGTAAGAATCCAATAGTTACACCAGAGCTGGTTCTCAGGACAGGTAAAAATTATATTACTATAAAGTTTCAGAAGAGATTGTAAAAATATGTGTCTTCTCTACTCCTCCAGTGTAAGTACGACTTCTGCTGGATCTGTTTGGAGGAGTGGAAAAAGCACAGCTCTTCAACTGGTGGTTACTACCGCTGCACTCGTTACGAAGTCATCCAGCAGGTGGAAGAACAGTCGAAGGGGATGACAGAAGAGGTACATACTCTCACAATGAAATTGGGTTTTGTCATATCTGAGATCTATGCTATTTGCCAAGATTTCATCACAGTTACAGTAGATGTTCTGTCTTAAATAAGATTTCACAGCCATGTTTGACAACAGGGAGTAGACACAGTTGTGCAATGACAGCTGTTATTTGAGTAGCCTCCTGTTGCTATGATGTACAATAAGTATTTTACAGGCAGACAATTCTTTTCCATTATTTTTTAAGTAATTTTTATATGAAAGCATAAAGCAGCTGTAGAACAACTCGGTATTTAATTTGATACTTTGTCAATAAAAAAGGTAGCAAAAGAACCAGAAAGCTGTTTTTGTAAAGGAAATTAAGTTTTGTGCTCGTAATGTTCTACAGTTTGGAAATTCTAACATGAAAAAAACAGCTTACAGCTGAATTAAACATATAGATTAAAGATCATGCCAAAAATTGAAAAGGTTATAAAAAAAAAAAAAAAAAGACATGAAAGACTGATTTTGGTTGATTCCAAATGTTGGTTTGAGGACCAAAACATGAAGAGCAATTGACAGATTAATTACCTGTTTAAAATAGGAGCAGGGGCAACACCTAATCAAATGTGAGAAAAAACAACTACTGTTAAATAGATTTTTTTTAGATGTAAAAAAAAATAAGTGAATATGCAGTTCATATTTTGTATTCCCTTTAGGTATTTATATTTCTCATTTAGCATTTCTGGCATAGATAGCTTTACTTTTTATAATAGTAGTCTTCATATGCACAGTATACACAAATCCTTGACTCTGATTTCCAAACGATTGTTAATATTTCCTAAGCAATCTTTGGACATAACAAGCCACCATAGCAGTGAACATGGTACTGAAATCCCACCTGAAGCCATGGAGATAGGAGAGTTTTGGGCGACAGTGGCATTGGATGTAGGAGTTTGCCCTGAAATCGAAGGATTGACGGTTCAAGCCCCGACTCCGACTTTCAGTGTCGTGTCCTTGGGAAAGACACTTCACCTGCATTGTCTACTGATTAGGGGTGTGGGAAATAATCGTTTTGGCGATATATCGTGATATTCGGCTGCCCTATATAATATCGATCTTTCATTCTTAGTATCGATTTAAAGAAAAAATGGTTACATAAAACATTGATGGGAAAATGGGCTACCTCTGCACCACCACTCTGGCAGAAAGCGCTGTGGAGCCCTTTAACTGTGCTTGCAGCACCAAATCTGTATTTGAGGCAGTCACAGTGGAAGAAAACCCCAAACAACATGGATAATAATACCTACTCAATATTTTCTGATGAAAATATACAGCACTTTTTGTTTTATCTCATCATTTGATTTTGATAGCTGGGGAAAATATGGCAATATATATTGATACTGCAATATCGTGAAAATATCGTATCGTGACCCAAGTATCGCGACACGTATCGAATCGCAACACTCATGCCAATACTCACCTCTACTACTGATGGTGGTCAGAGGGCCTGGTGGCGCCAGTGTACGGCAGCCCCGCTTCTGTCAGTGAGCCCCAGGGCAGCTGTGGCTACGATGTAGCTTGCCACTATCAGTGTGTGAGTGTGTGCGTGAATGGGTGAATGAATGTAGTGTAAAGCGCTTTGGTCAAGTCTCCTGACTTGAAAAAAAGCGCTATATAAGTACAGGACATTTACCATTTACCGTATCCA